ATTGATTGACTGTAACCGTTCTTACCCAAAGATAAGTAAGATTGCCAAATTACTGTTTACTTTTCATGGCTTGGTTTTCTATTATGTTTAGCAAATTATTTAAGATAACGGAAATTTTCTTTTTTGCTCTTTCCCCTGGTGATTATGTGCCTCACAATATTTTAAAGATCTAGTTCTCTTGGATCCAAGGAAAATTTTTCATGTATGCAATATAACCAATTTAACAATCATAGTTCTGTTCTGAAAAAAAATATAATAGAAAATAATAGTGTTCATTTTAATATTTTAATTTAAATGAAGTTTTCTTATCTCTATTATTACCAAAAGACTGAGTCTCCAAGAGGACTTTGAGCATCTTTTAAGCTGTGTTTTGCTGTACTATACAAGTGGGACTTTCCTCTATCCTATTCAGGTTTTTAAACTATGCTATGCTCAAGAAGTAATCACAAGAAAAAAAGAAATGTAGTCTATGAAATGAGGACACATGCATATGTAAGTCCAGTCTGACCCAAAAAATACTGTGTCCTCCAGAGATTTATTTCTTTTTAATATCCACTGCTGTACTGAGACGCTTCCTAATTGTTTCTTTAATTATCCTTCCTTATCAACTTCACATCTCGCCTGATAACACTGTCTGCCCAAGTGTTACTTCTCAGCTGAATAGTGATTTGTGATGGCTAATCTCTTTTTTTGTTTCAATTTATGCCTTCTCTATTTCTACTCTGTGCTATAAAGGGCATTTAAAGTGACTCAAGCTTTCCTCCTCTCCCCTTTGCTTTGATGAAGTCATGTATTGGCATTTGATGCAATTCATGCTTCATAATTTAAAATTTCTGCTATGACAGTACATGTAAAGTTTCCTTTATTCTGTCTCAGTGCTGTGAAGAGACCATTAGCTTAAATGTTGTAAATCAGAATACATAACCCTATACAGACTCAAATTGGCACTATTCTATTTTTTTCATACAGTTTTCTATGAGAAAGGGGCTTTTCATGAAACTGTCTACATAATTATGCCTATAGACAAAACATGAAAGAAAATAGATTCACATGAAACACTACTTCATATAACATATGCATATTGATGTAAAGTTTTTCTATAAATTTTGCAAAAATTTCACTTTCATACTTAGATTACAGAGGGGGTAATAATCTGTAGAAGAACTGCACTTGCACACTAATAGGTACAAATGAATCTGATGGGTCTAATTAAATATTTGTCAGTGGGAGGGAGACATTACATTACATCATTGCTTTCCCATAATAACAATAGAACACTGAAGGTCATACACCTTTAGGCTACAGTAAGAAAAAACTGATACCACTGTTTCAAAAAATCAGCAAAATAAAAAATAGCAAAATAAGACAGGTATGGTGGCTCATGCCTTTAATCCAAGCACTGGGGAGGCAAAGGCAGGTGGATCTCTGTGAGTTCAAGGCCAGCCTGGTCTACATAGTGAGTTCCAGGACAGCTGGGGCTACAGGGAGACCCTGTCTCAAAAAGACCCCCCCCCAAAAAAAAGCAAATTACACCCTGGCTTGCATATTAAATACAAAACTAAACTATATGAACTCCCCATATAAGAATACAAATATGGGGCTGGAGAGATGGCTCAGCAGTTAAGAGCACTGACTGCTCTTGCAGAGAACCTGGGATTCCCAGCAACCACATGGCGGCTACGAACCATCCTTAACTCCAGTTCCAAGGGAATCCCAAGCCCTCTTCTGACCTCCGCAGCATTGCATGACACAGGTGCACTCACATACATGCAGGCAATACACTTGTACACATAAAATAATAAAGTATTTTTTAAAAAAAGAATGCGAATATTCATTTTTTCCTTTGCCTGTCAGATATTTGTTTGCTTTTTAGTAACTGCTTATAGTGAAGAAAGTCACCAGACATGACGATTAGAATGTGTTTTTAATCTAGCTTTGATATGGTCATATATATAATATCTAAAGGTACATAACTTGGCAAGAGAGATGTTTAACATAAGTAACTTTAGATTTTAAACTAAAAGAGGACTCGATATCCTCCAACACATGTTTGTTCCTAACAATGAAGAAAAAGAAAAAGCATCACGTCCTGACACGGAAGCATTATGGGTTAGAGCTAAAGACAGTGAAAGCTGTTGGCAAATATTCAGTCCTGGATGGCATGGGAAGCTCAAAAGTGTTTGCCAACTCTCTACCCTGGAAGCAAGGATAAACAGTTTGATAAACAAGGAACTTGTGGTTTTCAGGATGCTCAAATCTAAATTATTTACCAGACATGTCTGCAGAGATAACTGAAAGAAGTTTGATGTAACTCTTAACATTATATGGGCATTGTGATCCTGTTAGCTTCTTTGATACATCACCACATCACCACAATGAATCTTTCCAAAATATATGAAAGATACATACCATTGTCAATGTATTGAAATAAGGAAAGAGAGTGCCCTATTTCAACTGAATGCTTACTCAATTTTACTACTTGTCAGTCTAGTAAGTGACATAAACGGTAGCCTAATCCTGAAAGACAAAAACCATGTTTTCTGCTATATATTGCAATGCCACAATTACTAAAGTGAAGAAAACCACATGCATTTTTTATATGATCTGCTGAGCTTTCCCATTTAAAGTTTTGTTTTATTTTTATTGAATTGAATTTCATACAATATATCTTGACCGTATTTACATTCCCTATCTGTATCCCTGTATATCCCCACCTGATTTCATGCATTCCCTCATACATGTTAAGGCCTATAGTGCCAAGTTTGTGTCTCCAGTTGTCCCTTGGTGTGAGTCCATCTCCTGTGCCTGATCAACCTATCTACCATCATTCCCTTTAAGAAAACCAACTTGGGGCTGGAGAGATGGTTCAGCAGTTGGGAGCACTGGCTTCTCTTGCAAAGAACCTAGTTCTGTTCCCAGTACCCACATGATGCTTAACAACTGACCGTTACTCCAGTCCCAGGGGATCCATTGCCACCTTCTGATCTCCTCAAGCATTGCACTACAAGAGTGCACTTACACACATACAGGCAATACACTTATACACATAAGACATTAAAAATAAAATAAATTAAATATTAAAAAAGAAAACCAAATCTCCCTCTCCAAGTAGTTATTGATTACAAATAAGAAGTATTTGATTAGGCATAGCTATATATGATACTGACATCAGAAATACTCAACCGTTAATGTCTACATATCTTAATAACTAAATGCACATTAAATCTTCATTCTCCAATAATACCGTGGTTCCATGAGTGCACAACCTAAAAGTACAGATTGTGATTTTTTTAAATGTCTTAGAGAGGTCTAAATTTTCTAAACAAAAACACTATAGAATAATCTTAGTCTAGATTCAGTGTTTAAATGAATTATCAAATGACTTCTAATACTATAAGTGAACACATTCATTTTGACATTTCTTAACCTTAATTATACAGACTAATTTCCAAGAAGGGATGCTTTCATAATTGCACAGTGATTTCTACACTTTCCAGAAAATTTAATTATTTTTGTACACAATAACATCTGTGCATAACAGTAATATGCAAATATATAATCTTACGAATTACGTTCTCATGAAAATTAGCATAATAACAGCAGGAAAGCAATGTATAAGCTCCTGAGTTTTATGATATTAAAACTTCTTTTTAAGTGAAATTTGCTAAATAACACTTTACGTTATTCAAGAAATGTTATTTCAGTTCCTGGTACATGTTTGAATACTTATTTATAAAGCTATAAATCTATAAGTGGCTGAGAAGGTGTCCTAGCAAATCAAAAGAGAACCATCTTCTTAAATTTTTACATTTATTTTTATTTTATATGTATGAATGAGTGCTTTGCATTGCATGTATGTAAGTGAGCCACATGTGTTCAATGCCCACAGAGGCCAAAAGAGTGTACCTGAGCTCCTGGAACTGGAGTTACAGATTGTTGTTAGTTGTCATGTGATTGCTGGGAACCAAACCCAGGTCTTCTGGAAGAAGAGCTAGTGCAGTGCTGTTAACCACTGAACCATTTATCAGTCTGGAGAACCTTTTTTTTTTTTTTTTTTTTTTTTTTTTTTTGTCTTTTTGAGACAGGGTCTCCCTATAGACCCAACTGGCCTGGAACTCAGTATGCAGACAAGGCTGGCCTCAAAGTCACAGATATTTGCCTGCCTCTGCCTCCCAAGTGCTGGGATTAAGGTGTGTGCCACCACAGCTAGCAAAACCATGTTCTTTTAAAAGTATTTTATTCTTTTTTAATAGACACAAGCATTAGTTTAACTATTATTTTGATGAGTCATTAGACCAGACACTATTAAAATTGGTGAAAGATACCAACATGGACTATGTCTTTGTGATTCTATAATGTTCTGCTTATAACTGGAAAAATGGATAATATGGTCCAGTTCAAGGCATGGAGTCTGGTAGGAGAATACCTACTGGCATTTGAACTTATACTAAAAACCACATTAGTTTTACCCAAAATGTCATATATTGGAAAAAAAAGGGAAACTAATCCAACATCTCTTTCACAAAAGTAATATAATCTAATGTGAAAGTTAAATAAAGAATAAATTGATTTTTTTAAAAATATTTTATTTTTATTTTATGTGTATGACTGTATTGCCTGTTTATATGTAAGTGCACCCACATGCAATGCCCATAGGGATCAGAAGAGGTTGTTGGATCTCCTGGAATTGGAGTTATGGAGGGTTGTTAACTGCCATGTGGGTGCTAGGGACCAAAAATTGTCCTCTGCGTAACTGGTTAATATTAACTGCTGAGCCAGCTCTCCAGTCTGGAGAACCTTGTTCTTAACCACACATGTAAACATGTCGTTTAATTCTTCTTTTTAAATTTATAAAAACACTTATCAATAATTTTAACAAGTGTAAGATAAAGCACTGTTGCCTATGATTCACAGGGGATGTCTGTGCCTTTTGCATAATGCCTTTCTTTTCCTGTTGTTATTTACCTTAATGTTTACTTTTATCTTTGTTTCTTCCATAGGGGGACGGAATGAAGTTGTGATTACTGAAAATAATAACAGCATAACTGAGCAAATCACTGATGTTGTGAAGCAACCTGCATTTATAGCTGGCATCGGTGGTGCCTGCTGGGTAATTTTGATGGGTTTTAGCATCTGGTTGTACTGGAGAAGAAAGAAGAGAAAGGGACTCAGCAATTATGCTGGTAAGAGACTATTTTCAGCTATAAAACCCTCTTATCTATTGGAATGCAATGAAATGAGAGAAAGAAATGGAATGGAATAACAAATGGATGATTTTGGCTTGTTTTAAAAACCCGCTCTGTAAAATGCAATTCGAAGCAGCATGCTTCAGTGCGTTGCTCTTGACCATGTCGTTTTATGACTGCAGGCAATCTTTCTGCTTGTATCTCCAGTGAAGCATAGCAAGAGTAGACACTGATAAAATGCTCAACTGCTTTTCTCCACTGCTTCTTCAAAACCACACACTCAGCCTTTGCAAGCTACAAAGACATCTTTGGAGAAGTATATTTAGGCAAGAACATGATTAAGTGCTCAAGGAAAGGGGAAAGATTAGCAATACAGCTTTAATATTTCACAATGCAGATTACTAAGGGAAATGTCCCAGATGGAGAAGACAAACAAGCCAAAGAAAGTCTTACCAGAATTAATGAAAATGATGAAGCACAAATTGAGTGATTTACTGGTCACTTAAATGGGATTTCTATTTCTGTCAACTAGCAGCATTTTTCAAAAGAAGAAACAGAAGGAAGCAAACAGAGGAGGAGAAGATGAAGAAATAGTACATAGGAAATAAAGGGAGACTCCAGATCATCTGTAATGTCACCGGAAAGAGTTTCTATGTTGTAAAACTCAAAAATTTCAAGAATGCTGAAAAAGGGTGCACCAAAGCATCTACAGGGAGAGAGAATGATAGACAGTGGGAAGAGAGAAAGAAAAAAGGGGGAAGAGAGAACGAGAGAGACACAGAGAGAGAGTCAGTGACAATCAAATTATAAAATTGAGGACTCAAAGAATGAACTCAGTACTGAAGCTAGGTTCAATTACAATTTAAATGACAGTTTATTTTTAATTATTTATTAAACTTCAGCAGTAAAAAGAAAATAATTCCCAAGAGTTCACACTTTGTAGAATTTTCAAGGAAATTCTAATTTCACCCTAGGAGCACTTGAAATGTTTTGAGACATTGTGTTCAGTATTCTATTTATAATAAGTGATAAATCCTCAGTGAAAATTAGTTATTAAGGGGCTGGAGAGATGGCTCAGCAATTAAGAGCAGTGACTGCTCTTGTAGAGGACTGGGGTTTCTTTCCCAGCACCCACATGGCAACTAGCAGCCACTTATAACTCTAGTTCGTTCGAGGGTATCTGACGCCTTCTTCTGACTTCTGTAGGCACTGTATGAGGCAGGTATACTTACCTACATGCAGGCAACACACTCATACACACAGAATGGAAATGATGAATAAAGTTTGGTGTGGTTTTTTTTTTTGGTCTTTTTGAAACAGGGTCTCCCTGTAGCCCCAGTTGACCTGGAACATGCTATGTAGAGCAGGCTGGCCTCGAACTCACAGAAATCCACCAGCCTCTGCCTCCCAAGTGCTGGCACATGCTTTTATTTAATAAAGTACTTTTTTAAAGTTAGTTATTAAGGCATTTGCATTTTTCACTAAATAGTGGAAATAGAAAATTGAATATAATGTCTGAATGGTGCAAAATGCAGGAAATGGTCTTCATTTGGTTGTCTTGCTTATTATCAGACAGCACTACATAGGATATTTTGAGCATAACTTTGTTCCTTCTGTCTATATTGTATGAGATATAATTTATTCATTATTAAACAGGACTAAAAGAAGCATATTGTGTCCATTAATAGGAGCTTCCCATCGTCACTTCTCCATGGTCACCCATCTGCCTGCTTTCTTATGCTTTGTAACCTAAGTTAAATCACTGCACCGTTTAGAGACTATTCCCAGAAAAGGGTGATCAGTAACAAGTGCTGAGTGTTGAAGTCTTGAGCATTAGCAGTATTTCAATGCCATTTTGCAGTCCTGCCTTCTATCTTCACCCCTGTAGGTATTGCCCATCAGCCCCTCTGTCTCACCAATCATTAAGCTATATTTCCTCCCTGTGACACATGAAACACACGATAGGCCAGATTTAATTCAAGGTCAAGTTTTTGTTTATTCCTTCTTTTGACTTTAGTGATTATAATAGAAGATAGAGTCTGCAGTTCACCTCAGTAAAAAGTGGTAATATCCATGTGTGAAGTGGTGCCTTCAAAACCTACATCTTTCTTTATCAACCATTCATGATAAACCAAGTAGCTCTCATAGTCGGTAGGTTTGCACTTTCATTATACTTGTATCAGATAGGCCTCTATTATTTCTAACAGCAGTCTTTGTGAGACCTATGGACTTGATTTGAAGTATCTGTTGGTCTTTGAGCTTGAAAAGAATTGTCCATTTCTTATTAAATGGCTCATTGTGATTGATGACTATGTACTTGTAGAAAATCTGCTAAAGTCAGAAGGTACTCTGTCCTTCAAATATTTGGCAGAAGGTCAAGTCAAAGTTAAGCCTTTCCAAACTTTAACACTTAATTGATAAATGGTTGACTCAGAAGAAATTTCTCTTCTCTTAAACCTACCTTCTAGCAGCTGCTGTTTTCTTCTTCTAGATGGGAAGCAAATGAAAATTTGCTAAACCCTAGGAAGCACTGTGTACCTGACTTCTGAAAGTATTTAGTCTATATTTTTCTTTAGAAATAATGTGTCCTTTACCTTTTTGGATTTTTGCAGTCTTTCCCCTTTGTAAGTTTAAGAGTAAGAGATTTCAAATAAGAAGATTCGCATATCTTCACATGTTCATAGTTCTAATATTTCATAAATAAGATGATGGTCCATTTTAAAAACATGAGTTAGTGGACTGTTTTTCTTAGAATTGTTTATAAAATTATAGACTAAATACTCTGTATTGATCCTTTTCTATTTTGTTTATAGTAAAATTCTCTTGAAATTTTCTATTATCAGTATGAAAAGTAGACCCATTAAAATTAAAGCAACATGATTTCAATTCAAGATAATGTCTATAAAGTTTCTGCTATTTCACTACATGGTGATATCTCTGTAATCACAATAGTATCTGTCTAATCGCTAATATTTGGCTCATGATGGTAGTCATTAAGTTTTAATAAGCTAAGTCAATTTGAAATCAGTACTTAAGTTATTATATAACATAAATACTTCATTTTTCAAACTAGAGTTCATTAGTATAGGTAAATTGGATATAAATCTATGTATTAGCCATCTTGTACTTTAAAAAAAGCTAAGCTAAAGGTAAGTAGGATTGTAGGACAGATCAAATTCAATTGAAGCACTCCCTCTTCCCTACACCATGGTTCCAAGTCTATTCTTAACTACTAGAGGATAAGAAAGACAACAATTATTGGAGACACTGGAATGTTTTCAGGGTAAGATGCAAACTCTGGGCAAGATGTCTTCCACTCACAGTTCACAGGTAAAACACCCACTGAATTTTATTACATCTGGTTGATAACATGCTGTTACTGCAAAAAGCCTGTTTGATAATTTTGAAGAGAGTTAAGAAAACAAAACTTTATTACTCAGTGTTGATCATTTCCTTTGGCAGTCCAAATATTTCACATTTTCACTATAGAACATTAACAAACTAAACCTTAGATTACATTAGCAAGTATCAGCAGTCAAATAAGAACCCATATATTTGAACCACCTTGGAGGAGAATTTGGCCTAAACATATTTTGCTTCTTTGCACAACAGAAAGCAGAGAGCTTGAAGCAGGAGTATACATTAATTTCCAATCTTTTAGATTCAACCACACATTACAATTTTACCCATGGCTGTGTATATACTATAAACCTGCAGAGGACAGTTAGTGTTCAAGAAGATATCACTATGTCTCATTCTGTGTGCAACAACTTTTCATTTCTATGGAATAGGCATTAGTATTTGCCTTCCTTTTCATTGAGTGCTAATAATTCCATGTCTCTGCCTGGGGGATTTCTCGCTACAGGAAAAATTCACTACTTCAGAAGTTAGAAGATAAAGAGATTTGAAAAGAAATTTGGAAAGGAAATATCAGATTTTTTTAATGCAAAGTAAACATATGATCACCATTATACTAGTTTATTAACTACAAAAGTAATTCAAGATTGACTCAAAGCTATGTAACTTTCATGAGATTCAGATTTAAATATATCACATATTATGTATACATACATATGTTTGTGAAGACTGCATGTATGTTTTCAAAATTATGCTATGTTTTTTCAACTTCTAATTATCAAAGTCATGATATTTTTAATGAAAGCTTAAATTTGCTTTTAAAGGGGTAAGTTACATTATGTGGGTATTATAAGGTTACTATTTTACAAAACTTAGTACACTTGAACAATTTAACATGACTGAATTATGGCAGAATAAATACTCCATGTATAGGTTTTCTTTAAAAAAAATCCAAATTAAGCTTTTTTAGTCAATGAGGGGTGGCTACTGACCACCAGGAGCCTGATTGGTCACACTGGCCAAACAGCAGGGGAGAGAAAGTACATTTGTGCATATAAATAAAGTTATAGTAGTTGGTTAAAGGATTTAGGGCACACATCCTCCAAAAGGGTCTTTGAAGAATTTGTTCATAGAGCAAGATTTGTTTACAGGGCAGAAACCACTCTGTGGTTGGAGTTAATGGGGGTCCTGGACAGACTTGTTTACAGAGCAAGAATTGCTTTATGGTTTGGGATTCACGGGGTCTCCCTTTATTCCAGACCTTGAAGAAGAATATATTGGGAATAAGATCATCCTATCACCCCACCTGCTTCCTGCTGAGAGGAGTCATAGGGGGGAAGGGGGCTTCAGGGACAACTGGAAGAGGGATGTAGGAGAGTCCTCGGGTGGCATGGAGCTAGAACATAGTCTTGATTTGGTCCCAGCTGGTAGCTTGGGCAGTTGTATGGACTACTCTAGACAGGCAATTCTGTAAGAATCATGGCCATTCATCTTCTGGCTGTGGAGCTCCTTTGCAGAAGATGCAGGCTGATGCTGTAGGGAGAACACAGAGCATCAGAGACACACTGAGCACCTGACTTTGCAGCTCATATGGAACTTCTGGCCTGGGAATGAGCTCAAAGGAGACACAAATGGCAAAA